GTCTGGCAATTCTAATATTTCAGCAGTAGATTTTTAGACACAAGGGTGCATGTGTTCACAAATTCAGATCTATGGCCAGGGGTGTCAAACTCAAATACACAGTAGGCAAAAATAAAAGAAATGGGTACTAGTCGAGGGCCGGACTGGTTCAATGTTTATTGCAAAACTTATTGAAATGAACTTATTGCACATATTAAACCTGGAACTAACAAAGCCTAAAGTATTGCCTATAAAAACAACATTAAATAATTAGTTGCATTCATTTCTTATGGCTCTATCTGCAGATTTTCCCCGAGTAATTTCTTATGATTACATTTTTCCACGGGCCAACAACAGCTTCAAAAAAACAATTTCCCTCCAAAGAAGAAAACAACATGCCCTGTTGTCGCAAGAAAAAAAGTGCAGAAGGAAACATCCATTTAAACTCAGTTTGCTGCTCTGTGATGCTAGTTCAAGCCAGATACTTGGCGTCTCATCTTGGGTGCAAGTTCATCAATGTTTGGGGTCAGGCTCTGTGCTGAGGAAACCCTCAGAATTGAGTGAAGGTATGCATGCAATACTGATTTGGCACCCGGGCCTTGAGTTTGAAACATGTGCTTTTATAGGAAATCATGTGCTGTGTTTTGATGATTGAACTGAGTACATAAAGAGGCAGTGTGTATAACCCGTCTCACTTTCCTCCAGATGGTGAAAGGCTTCTCTAATCGTTCCCGTAAAGCCAGGATGGCGTCCGGGCAGACAGAGGAGAAGGACTTAGCTGTGTTTGGAGAATGGCAGACTGAAGAATACCAGCCGCCTTTAGCTGTGGATGGGAAGGTAAATGCCTTTATGGACCGGGATGATAACTGTAAAGAATTTTTTTTACTCTTAACAGCAAATATTTATATACAGCAGATAAAATGGACCATGCATTAAAAAGACAATCAGTCATTTCTGAAGATATTTCAAATTAGCGCACTATTGTTTACATATTGTCTGTTGCCTTCAGGTTCCCCGCAACGAGTACGGTAACGTCTACCTGTATAAGCCCTGTATGTTGCCGGTGGGCTGTGTTCACCTAAGGCTGCCCAACCTGAACCGCGTGGCTAGAAAGCTGGAGATGGACGCCGCCCTCGCCGTCACAGGCTTCGATTTTCATGGAGGATACTCACACGCTGTGTAAGACAACACTGAGGAACCTCTTCAAACACAAGACAGTAGGGGGTGTGATCAGTTCAGGAGTATATCAGGGTTTTTATTCCATTCTCAGTCTCAGGGTTTAACAACTCCACTGCATCGATCCGAACTGTTTTCATCGTTTGTGATTTTAACCGTTTTATCTTATGAAAAAAACGATTTTTTACCTCCTGAAATCTAGGTCATTATCTCTATTATTTTTTATTTTTTTTATTTCAATATAGTAAAATAAGTTATTCAACATTCACAATTGGACACAAAATTAGTATTACTTCAAGTAGTTTCACATAGCACTGGGCACACAAAGTGTTTGAAGCGTGTTCCATGACCTTTTACAGCCTTAGCTTTCACCAGTTACTAAGTGTAACCTAATGAGCAAAGTGTTATGACATTTGTTTATTTTGATACACTTATTGTAAAAACTGCTAAACAGATTTATTGATTTATTTCCTCTAATTTGTGTTACATGCTTAAGAAGAAAAAAGAAAGGACAAAATAAGGTTTTTAAGAAAACAGGACAAATGCAAGGTGAATGAAGATCTGTATTATGTATGTTTGTGTGTTTCAGCACTGATGGGTACATTGTGTGTGAGGAGCATGAGGAGATTCTCAGAGCAGCCTGGGCGGAGGAACAGGATATTCAGAAACAGAAGGAGAAAGAGGTGAGTGTGACTGATGAGTACAGGTTAATTACTTTCTTTGTTTACACAGTTATGATGGTTTTGCCATCTGTTATTTAAAAGCTGTTCAGCACCAAAGCACCCCGTCACTGTTTTCCCCTTACTGTTTCCAGAAAAAAGAAAAGAGGGTGATCTCCAACTGGACTCTGCTGGTGAAGGGGCTCCAGATCAAAGAAAAACTCAAACAGCGCTACGGAAAGTTAAACCAAGGTCTTCTTCAAGGGGAGGAGGCCGCCGGGCTTTCTTCAGATGAGGAGGGGGATGAGGGGGGAAGTCCTTCAGATAAGACGGCATCTGAGACTCTGGCCATGTCCTGGCCTCAGAACAAACAGGCTGAGGAGGACGGGGGGAGCATCAGCGGACTGAAGAGGACAGCGAAGACAAAACGAGAAAAGAAAGGACAAGAGAAACACATGTTCCCATTTGAAAAAGTGTGATATCGGAGGTAAAAAAAAAAACTACACTTGAGTTTAGTAAATCAAGTTCGATTCCATTTCTCTCAGGAAAGGCTGCTTGTATGGTTTACTCTGGTAGATGTTCTTCCATTGATGATAATGCGGTCATTAATCCCCATTCTGTGTTTACCATCAATGTGCATACTTCCATTTGAACTCATGTACTGTATTTTAGATGTTTATATGAGAGCTTAGTATACATACTGTCCATGCCAAGTTGCCAGGGGGGTAAACAGGCAAGGTGAATATCAAATCCAACAAGTTGACGCGTGTTCTCTGTGCAGAAAGGTGCTCTGAGGTTGCATTGGAAAGCACTCACTCAACATGAATGTGGGAACAGGGAATTGTCCTTACAACGTGATACTCACGGCACTCTTGTGAGAATGAAATGGGTGTTTTCCAGAACTCGATCAGTACAATGCTGCTGTTGAACCTGGTAGGCACTGTTTTTCTCCTTAGTTTAGCGCATTATACAATATATGCCGAATAGAATTGATTGCTTGTGTTGCAAGTTAACACAAAACCGCATCTAAAAACAACACTTCAATTCCTACAGGTGAATAAACATTTCCATTGGCATCTGGTGCCTCAGCTTCCTTATACCGTTTCATTGCTCACTGGACTATACTCTGAATAAGCTGATACAATGAACACTGAAACTTGTACCATTGTTGTACATTTAAAATTTGGTATCATAAGTTGCATGAACAGCCATGTTTTGGTTGCATGGCTTCTGTACACACGTGAACCACGTAAAATGTATCTTGAGATGTATCCATGAACTTTGTAAAAACCGCAACTAAGAAGTTGTTAAATGATTTCTTAGCTCACACACTGTCTGTCTTGATTTCTCACCAAGCTTTCTGTACTTCCTCTTTTTCTCTCTTGTCTTGTTTGGCTGCTACATCCTCAGAGATTCGGTGTTTCTGTTGTATCCTGAATCTGCCTCTTATTCATCTCTTTCACACTTGTTTCCTTTATATAATTGTGTCCTCAGCAGATGATGGCTGTATATAAATAGAAAAAAGTTTTTTTGTAATTTTTCTAAGAAATTTTAAAATCACCAGTAAAAAGCAAAAGCAACAAAAACTAAATCAATCTGTGTTTGTGTCATTTTTTTTAAGTCTAGTTATTTGTTTAAGCCTAAGGGCAGCTGCTGGTATTTTTGTCTAAACTTTAAAGTGACCATAGAACCTGTGATTTAGCTGCATGTTATATATAGATCATAAAATACTACAAAGACAGAATACAAGGGGATCACATTCATGTGTCATTTCATGAAGTTAAATGTTTAAAAAAATGGCAGCTGTCACACTGATGAAAGATGATAAGATGTGTGTAGCATGGGGAATTGACATTGGAGGAGAGATTTCAAACATACCTAATGCTGATTCCTAATACTGCATTGATTGCATTGTATCATGTAGGTGGGTATACACTTACAGTACACTGGGGAAAAGGACATACATTTATCACAAACATTGTATAATCCTAACATAAGATAATTACTGGCTGTTAAATGTATATTTAATTAAATTCGTGTATTATATGGATATGTGTTTTAGCAAAGAGTTATAAGATGTTGGTCCATTCCTGTAGTGCAGCTAAAGTATTAATGAGCAGCACAAGTGCATTAATCTGCTATAGGAGGGGTAGTGACGTCATACATAAGTATCTCTGTGGTCTTCCGGTTACCAGCCCAGCAGTCGGAGAGTAAATTGCACAGTGGATTTCCCCACACAATAACCAGTCCTGGTTGTCATTGCGAGCAGAGCCGACGCTTCTCATTGAGGTAAACATTGCCGTCTTAAACCAGATAAAAATGTTTGCAGCACTTTTATAAATGTGTGTGTTTATTACGGAGCTCCAGAGGGCCTTGTTTACATCTAAATCCCCGGTCTAGAGTGGGCGAGAGGCGGCGACGGAACAGCGGGAGATAAAGGGGTAGCTAACCGGGATAGCTATTGTGTTATAAATTAAGGAACAAAACTAACTTTTTTCCCTAGAAAGTTTTCCCCCGGTCTGCTTTAAAAGTATACAACAATTTAACTCGTCAAACTCGTGGGTTTGGCATGCCGTCACGTCGCTGCGGAATAAACTGATGCACGCTAGCCAGGAAGCTAACCCGGCTAACGGTCAATTGGCCATCCTGTTTGAGGATTTCAGTGCCAGGTTTTAATCTGCAATGAATGCACACCACCGAAATGCCCTGGTCAAACAAAAAAACAAATATATATATTGTTAATGTTGCGTTATCGCTGCTCGTACCGCTCACTTCCCATCCCCCAAGACATGTTATCAAAACCTGTGCTGAGTAGCTGTGATACATTAGCCTAGCGAAATGTGTGTCACCCAGTTGGTGCCTATTTTTAGCCCCGACCGGGCAGAATGCGAACAGACATCGTCTCTCGCCCGGCGTGCCACGGGTCCGGGCCGCCTGGCAGGCTCTCCCGGCTTGTTTTTATTTTTAGCCCGGTGGATATTTGCGACGTCACATATTATAGCCCATATCAGCAAACGGCATTTACCAGGTGTCTCTTTATACATTTAGTGTATACAAATTGCATATCGGAATAATAGCCTATGTGGTGCAAAGTTTGAATCCTATTCGGAGTATTGTTCCCGTTCAACCGTATTGGGCTTCTTTAGCTCGTGACACATGGTGCGAAGGCAAGTGTTGGCAAGGAGAATAGAGAAGCTACCCATCCGCATTCAAACAAAAACAATAGCCGAGTTGTAAATCTGTGCGTAAGGGAAACCCCAATTGGACAAGGAAATACGATTAGCAAGCCTAGGGAATTTACTTTTCACAAGTAGCCTTGCATTCAGAGGAATATTATTCCCTGTCACTGGGCTGGGTAATATAAGGATTAAAGAAGGCAGTATCATATATTTGCTTCTGGCATGTAAAATCGCATGTCCAGGTACAAAGAGGATGTTCAGTGTTTTGGTCATGTTCATCTTGCATACTAAAATATTTTGGAAGTAATTTAAGGGGAAAAAGATCCCCTAAATGATGAAATTTTGGATTTTAGACATCATGTAAAGATGTATTTGTCTATAATGTACCAAAATGTCTCAATCCAGCAATTAATTATTGCTCCACTGTTGTATGCTTGCATGCATGTGTAAAATGTTAACTATATACAAATTGTGTCTGGGTCCCGTCATTCATAAGGTTAAAGCATCTTCAGCTAATCTTGTAAACCTTGTTTAAAAGCATTAACCCATGCCTTGGGTTGCACACGTGTTTAGCTGTTCTAAAGTGTAGAAGGACAGAGGCAGGCCTGGTTAAGAATAATAAGACTACAGTAAGAGATGCACTCGGGAAAAATGTCAATGTTTGGAAGTGAGTAATAAATCCCATTGTTCATTGCCTATTGCCTAGAAGAGCAGCAATGCATTGGTGAGTAGGGTATGTGTAGCTGAGATCAGAGGCATGGTCTAAATGAACAAAATCTTGAAGCTAATTCATTGTAATCTGTTTTTACTGTACATTGTTTTGGAACTGTATTAGTAAACCGAGAGTAACTTAAACATAATCAAATTCCTTGTATTTCCACACAAGCTTGGCAAATAAAGCTGATTCTGATATGACATAATCTGTACTAAAAGGTCAACTGCAAAGTAGACACAGATTAAGCAAGCACAGCCAAACGTTTAGCAACAACTGGCTGGTAGCGTGTGTATCCCAGAAACAGAATATTTTATATACAAACAAATTATATTGTCCAAAGTGTGTCCAATTTGAGTCATATTTATATATGATGAAGTATTAAGTATTATTATTCATAAGTTGTTAATGTGTGTCCCCCCCCCCCCCCCCTGAAAGGGACAAAAGAAAAACAGATGTCGTCACTCTTCACAGTGGCAGGTGGTTTCTGAGCACCACTGGCAAAGTTGTGTTCAATGGAATAAATATATTGTTGGTGTAAAATTAGAAACACTCCAGGCTTAGTGACTAGCCGTGTTGAAAGGGAGAAATAAGTCCAACATGAACACTTCATAGCTTGCTTCTGTTCTTTGGTCAGTAAACTAGCGTTTTCATCCATATGTACAAATTAATATTATAAATCACAAGCTACTAAACTACCTTTCAGTAAAAACTAATGAGCGAACTATCAACAACTTTGAACACTAATTATATTTTTCTCTTTATACCCCCACGGTTTCCTCAATTACACCGCACCTTTCCCAACATCTGTTTGTACTTCACTTATTTCTCATTACTTTTCAATCTTTTTTTCCTCCTCAGAAATCTTTGTAGCCAGCTTTCCAAATGAGTGACGGGGAGTGTGACTGCTTCTGCTTCTTCCGTTGCTGCTGAGCGCACTCTCTACGCGCCTCGGGCAGACGGGAAGGTAGTGTGTCTCTAAACAGTGAGGCAAGCAGCTTGAACAGCACACAAGGAGAAGAACCGAAGTTGAGCTTTAAACAAGTCATTTAATCCACTCGAACCACCGACAGGTAGGCGAGCTGTCTACCTGTCCGGGTGGCTGATCCAATCAATTGGATGTCTGTGGACATGAACAGCCAGGCGTCGGACAGCAATGAGGAAGACTTTGGGGAGAACTTTGAAGACGAGGGAGATGACGATGACGATGGAGGAGACGATGATGATCAGGCCGACATTGAGGACTACTACATCGGCGTGTCCAACGATGTGGAGCAGCAGGGCGCTGACTCCTTTGACCCCGAGGAGTACCTGTTCACCTGTCTGACCTACAAGGAGAGTCAGAGGGTGCTGTTAGAGGAGGTGAACACTGTGGCTGCTGCACTGAAGGTGAGCTTGTGTGATTCTGCAATTGAATTGAGCTTCTTCATGGTCACAATGCTTGTGCTTGATGGCTCATCGCCACGCTGTCATGGGACAAAATGAATAGCGCAGATTCATCATTAGTTTTATCGGTATCTTTGTGCTTCCAAAGATTGTGTAGAATGTCTGGTATGGAAACAGGCTTTTTGCCCCTCTATTGGTTCAGCGTTACTCTGCTGAGTCTACATGCTGTTCTGCAGTAAACACCTTGCTCCACACTTGTATAATTAGTCATTATGCACATAGGAGCTGCACAGCAACTACAGTATTCTGTTCCCAGAGGAGCAGCTGTGTTTTGTGTTTATAGAATACAAAACAATTATAGAACAATGACTTTGATTCATTGACTCCTGACTCTTTTCATTTTTATAATGTTTACAGCAGTGTTACAATCACAAAGCGTTTTTTTTCTGCTAAAGGAAAAAGTCGGCTTATTGTATTAAAGTGAAAATAGGCAAGTCTTGGATATGGGAACTGTGTGTCTTTACTGATTAGCTGACTTTCAACAGCCAAGTCACTCGGGGGAGCAACATTTCAGCGATCTCTGTTTGTCTCCTTCTCTCTCAGGTTGTACCAGCGGTAGCAAAACTGGTCCTGGTGCATTTGCACTGGCACCTTACACAAATACTGGACAGGTATGTCTCTCCTGCTGCATCACAATCCTGCCTTTCTTTAATTTGAATTATTGCAATCTTTCTTTTTCATCACCACTTTTTGAATTCTTCCTCCCTGTCTTCACTTTTTAACATGTTTGGTCTAACAATTCTTTCTCTTTCTTTCCTCCTTTACCTCCTTTTCCTTGCTTTCTCAACCTTACTATTTCCTTTTTCCTTTGTGCAGCAGTCTTATATTTTTCAGTCTCTCATCCTTGGTTCTCTCCATGTTCTCCACAGATACAAGTCCAACTCGTCTCTGCTGATGTCGGACGCTCTGGTCCAGCCCAGCAGCACCTCCAGAACACTCACTGTGAGTAACAAGCCACGAGCAAATAATGAGCCCAAATATTATTCACAAGCTTTGATTATACCTTCTTATTCAGATGTTGTATATCCTTTTATACATAGGGACCAAGCTAAGAATAACTTAGTAACAGCTTTCTGCGCGTGCACATGCATTGTTAAACATCGTTTATTAGCCATAATAAAGAAGTACTATACTTAATGACTTTGTTCACTGTTGGTAGTGATAAGTAGTTTAAACATGAAATTAATATTTTTAGATGTACCAGAGAATTCCGTAGGAGTTAAAAAATCCGTTTATCGTGTTTCTTGATTTTTTTTATTTTCAATACATCACTTTGGTAACATGAGATGAAAATATGAGTAATATATTGCTCTTACGTTACCAATAGGGCTGTACCCGAATATTCTACTATTCGTTCGTTGGCCAACTATTCGGGTTTCAATTTCATTATTCGGATATTCGTTTTTTTTTTTTTAATTATAATTTTCTTTCTTCAAAGAAATATATTTTTTTTTCTAAATGTATGCTATTAATAAAGGTAAATTGCCATATTCTTATACTATATTTATACTTTTGAATTGCACTGTCAAAATGCGGAAATATATACAATCTCAGCCTGTGCTCCTGACATCGCGTTCACTCAGTCACGAACGCAAACGGCACGCTTCACCTCGCTTCACCTCGTTTCACCCACAAAATGCCGAAGACTTCAGCTGTGTGGGACCATTTTAAATTGGACGACGGTAAGAAGAATATGTGCCAAATATGCAATAAGAAAATGGCCTACCACGGTGGCACACCAGCTCTGAAAAGTCACCTGGATGCTGTAAGTACTAGCCTAGCTTAGCTGTTGTCAAGTTGCCATGATGAAGCTGCTTTATCCGCCGTTCAAACAGTAACGTTACACATGATAAAAACGTGCACTTACTTTGCTTGGAAAATAGTTGCAAGCAAGCAACCGAATTGTTTTTTTATATTAGTTTTTTTAATTTTATCCGAATAGTGAAAATGATAGGAGTAATGTGGGAACATCTGTGGCTAAGGCAATTATTGGCATAAAGTTGAGTAGCTCAGCCTAATAATATTTTGTCATACAAGAGACGAGGCGAAATATTGAACCAACAAAAAACACCTAACATAGTTGACGGATATAACAACGTTATCATTCTTATATAAATTGTTTTAATTTTTGATTTGTTTTGCAGTTGAACTCTCAAAGAGTTGACTATTGTCAGACCGAACAAACTATCAACTTATAATTGTCAAAAGAACAAGCAAGGAATCAAACTTTCCCTAACCTATATATCGTGAATTAAACAATTAGGACGAAAACACCTTTTTCTGCGTCGATTTAACAGATTACCATTTCTCCTTCTGTAGTAAGGTGAGTAAATGGATAGGATTAGTCAACCAAGGCAACGAGAATACTGTTTCCTTCTTACTTCTTTGATGGTACTGCTTTCTTGTTGTGTCAATATTCTACCTGGTAGTTCACGTGAAGTCGTTGCTACGTAGTGGAGTCGATAACAAAAACCGAACACAAGTCAGGTTAAGTATAGCTTTAACTACAATAAAGTGACCATATCCGTTGTTGATTATTGTTTGGAAACGACGCAGTAAAGTTATACGCATGTATTTACATATTAACTAGAACACATGTGAGGGTGTGAGGGTAGACGAGAGGACGACTGTGTCCGTGTTGCAAGAGGGTCTATACTATGTGTACGTGAAGTATTAGTATCCACCCTTGTCATTCGGACGGTCATGTAGAATGTAGGTGTACCCTCAGTAAATTTAGGAGTATATATGAGAGTGGAAGTTTCGGGATTACCGTGTTAACCTAACGCTTTCATCTGCGCAATTTGTTTATATAATGACACGTGCTATTAGTAAGGTCACAGACAGTAAATTTATTGCCAATAGTAACTCACTTGACTATAGTACGGGGGGGTGATTTATTGTATGACGTTGCGGACGGACGAGACCGCCATTTCGTATCGGGTATTTGTAGGTTTCTTAGTCTCCGTCTGACACTACTTTTTGGTCTCACCTGTTGTGGTACAGTACGTTATGTATTATGTCTCCGTGAACCCTCGAGTGACAAGTTTTGTATTCACACTGAGTGAGTGGAATTAGGTCGGAAACTACTGATGTGTCTGTAGTGTTTTGTGTGAGACGAGTGGTTAGAGGGTCCGAGGTGAGAAACTGTACTGTCACGTCATGACAAAAGGGTACCGTAGGAAACTCTTCCCACGACCGTCCCGTCTCGGTCGTCACCGGCAGTAGAGACATGCTAACATCTGTTAGTGTGGCGTGACCCTCCACTGACCCACCCGACTTTGGAGTGTTTTGTGTCCTTCGTACTTGTTGTTGCGGCGTCTGTGTGTAGACTGGGCCTCTCTCATTCTTTCATGTGCCCAAAGGATAGGGTATTTCATTTAATGAGTAGGAATCTTGTAGTTTACTATTATTTCTTTAAGTAAACCATTATGGTAATAAAGCCCGAGCCTATAAGCAATTAGTCGTCGCTTATAAGCCACGCCTCTCTAAACATTAAAGAAAAAATATTTTATAAAAACCTTTTTTCCAAAGTATTGGTGCGAGGCCTTAGGCTCTGTTGGACTGTTGTGCGACAATTCGTCTTCGGGGTTTTTTGTTGTGTGTTCCGTCTTTCTCGTATTGATAATGCTAAATATAAACTAAATAACAGGTGCAGAGCGTTTGTAATTTTGATTTTACACAGGAGACATCCATTTGCACATCCCAGACGACATAACAACTCCTACAACTACCGACCCTACGTGGATACCNTGAAAAAATCCTCAATCAACAGCAAAACATTGGTATCGTACATCGGTGCCTCCCTAGGAAGCGTCCTGTCTCTGGTTTGGTCGGTTGGATGAACCAGTTATTTAATCACAGTGGAATCAAAGTAATTAAACAAATCATAGATTCCTGATCATCAGTATAAGATGAAATGATAAATGAGTGCTCTATTAACATCCTTAAACACTTTATTCAGCAGGTCTCACCTTCTTTGGCCTCTTCGGAGCCCTGAGTGAAGAGCAGCTGGAACTGTTTGTTAGGGAAAGAAGCTGGGAAGATCCTGGACATCAGAGGGCTGACACACACACACAGGAAGAAATCATAAATCATCCAAATGTTCAAATGACTTTCTGTGCTTCTATTTGTCATTAATCACAACATCTAGTATGCATGTGTGTGTGTTGCTTTACCTCATGATGTGAGACAGAGCCAGCACGCCCAGGCCAAAGAAGTAGATGGACAGCAGCATGTTGATGTACTCTTGAGAAAATACCTGCGCCAGAACACATTCGACTGAGTGTGGAAGACATTACTTTGAATTGGATTTGCATGCCTTTCAATCGTTCTGTTATTAATCGTTTGCATGTACAGAGCTGCTGTTTTTTATTTTCTTAGGCTGGCTCTTGTTTTTGCAGGTTTCCTTTTTTTCATGAACGCATGACTGAGGAATTGTTTGAGATTTGTGGAAATATTTCACTCCCAAACATCAGTTTTATTTCAGATTAGAGTAGCTGGTGGGATATTGTCACTGGAAACTAATTTTACACATAGTATAATAAAATGTATTTTAATTAATTCATAAATAAGCCATATGTTAATGCAGAATATACAAGGTTTAAACTCAATAAGGACAAAATTAAAAAATCCTGGTCAGCATTTAGACGTTATGAATTAGGCTTCAAACTAGTTGTCAGCCCTACTATACTAACATAATGACTACTATACTAGAGTATGTACTAGCATACTGAAGTATATACAACTTCTAGTCTATGCTAACATTTTAAATCAGCTAAACACTTCCCTCCAAATGTTTCTTTCAGGTTGCATCACCGCTGTCTTTTGTAGGAATTTGAGATATTTCATGCATTTATCCGAAAACTCCAAAACGTGAAACCCCTGCAGGTGGGCTGAGGAAACCCTGTGTTACCTTAAAGAACAGGTAGAGCCCGAACAGAGTGCAGCTGGCGATGATGGGAAACCTTGCGGCGTCTCGACTGGTGATCGTTTCAGGCATGTCTGATGCATTCTGGGAGGAGAGAGAGAAACAGAGATAAATAAAGAGAAGAGGGGAAGCAATGGAGGGGTGTTGTAAGATTCAGTGTTAATGCAAGGGACAACTAGTTACATCAAAACAATGCAAACAACATTTAAGTTAGTTAAACCAAGAAACACACATTTAAATAGTGTTAAAGCAACTAAAACAAAAACTGAAATACTCTTAAAGTATACATTAGAGCATCATTTCCACCAGCAGGTAAAGCTTCATGGATCAAGTAAACAAGTTTAATTTGTTTACCATGTGTAAAATGTTATGTAAAACTAAAAGGATAATGTTTATTGTTTGTTTATTAAGACTTTATTGAGTGTAATTATTGCGGTTAGGACCATCATTTCTCTTAATAACACCATTATCACCAAGTTAAATGAAAACAAATCTGTTCCCACAGAATCCCATTGATTTTGAAAGGGTCAAACAATCAAGGTCGAAGGAGCATGATACAAACATGCACCCTCTTTTCCAATGGTCCCACAAAACTTAGAGGACCAGAAAATAAAAAGCATCCTTCTGTTTCTACAACCAGCTGCTCACATGTACAACTTCGAGCACCAAACTAAACACTATACTGTAGGGTGGAACCGAAAGTCAACTTTTTACATTCATAGCTTTATTTGTGTACTTTAAAAAATATTTTCCTAAGTGTTATGTCCTCATTCAGGCTAAAAAAACAAATGCATTCCTTAAAACAAAAAATTCTCCTCTGAGTCCTCTCCTGCTGATGTTCAGGTGTTTATCAGTATGTAGTGTCTCTACTTTAAAGAGTCCTCTCCTGCTGATGTTCAGGTGTATATCAGTATGTAGTGTCTCTACTTTAAAGAGTCCTCTCCTGCTGATGTTCAGGTGTATATCAGTATGTAGTGTCTCTACTTTAAAAGAGTCCTCTCCTGCTGATGTTCAGGTGTATATCAGTATGTAGTGTCTCTACTTTAAAGAGTCCTCTCCTGCTGATGTTCAGGTGTATATCAGTATGTAGTGTCTCTACTTTAAAGAGTCCTCTCCTGCTGATGTTCAGGTGTATATCAGTATGTAGTGTCTCTACTTTAAAGAGTCCTCTCCTGCTGTATTCAGGTGTATATCAGTATGTAGTGTCTCTACTTTAAAGAGTCCTCTCCTGCTGATGTTCAGGTGTATATCAGTATGTAGTGTCTCTACTTTAAAGAGTCCTCTCCTGCTGTATTCAGGTGTATATCAGTATGTAGTGTCTCTACTTTAAAGAGTCCTCTCCTGCTGATGTTCAGGTGTATATCAGTATGTAGTGTCTCTACATGTCTCCATGCTTTAATGTTCAAAAAGCTCTTCATTTTTCTATACTGCAGCACCTCTTTTCACCCTCTGTCTGAAACCAGAGCCCAGTCTGCTCTGATTGGTTAGCTGGTCGGCTCTGTTCTGATTGGTCAGGAGAGTAGGAAAGAAACTCCCTCTGGAGGGAACACAGGAATTCTAGCCTTTGCAGACCATTACCTTGCACAAAAACCTATATAACAAACTACAGGAAATGGAAAACCCCAAAAAGCACAAAAGGGCCTCTTTAAATATGGTTTTGTTCTTAGCTAAGACACTTGCTGATGATGTCGCTGTACACATTACATTTGAAAGGATTACGTAAATTCAACTGAAGCTCAGGTGAAACTCTCCCATGTAATCCTCCTGCTACACTCATACTGCTGTTCGCAAAGACACAAACGATAGAGAGTCTGACAGAAGTCCCTGAGAGAGAGAAGCTTGAGAGTCACCTCCATCTACTCCCCCGAGAGAGAAAGTGGGACAGAGGAGAGGAAAGGAAGGAAGGTAAGGGAGGAAGGAAGATTTACAAGGCAAAATGATGGGAAGGAGAAGAGGCCAGAAGGAGAAAATGCTTCTTTGTCACTGCACTAAAAAGGGCTCCATGTGACATGTCGATGATTCCTTCACTCAAATCACTGGTGAATTCTGTATGTGCTATAGGGGTTGCTGCAGGGACGAAATATTTGTGTAGGCCGTACCGTAAGGTTAGCATAGACAAAAAGTGAGATGTGGTGTTATTATGCAGAGATTATCCATTTAAGTAACATAAACGTCTCTTTGCAACAGAGCTTATTTTCTGTAATAATACAAAAAATCAAATGGTGTCGCCTTGAGTTAAGTGGAGCAGTCATGTGACCGTGCTGTAGTTTTTACTTCTAGGGACGTGTAAGAATCATACACGTTTGTTTGCCACAGATCTTATTTTTTAACAATATTCCAAAATCCCATTGCTAGCCCTTGTGATGCTAGCTTCCGGGTTGTCATCACTGCACCACTCTATTGTGAAAATAACAGATTGGAGTCACATAAATGTAGAAAAAAAACCTGATTGTGATGTGCTACTGTCTGCCATTTGAATGTAGCAAGGCACTGAGGGGACTCATTATCACTCACACACTGTTCAACAGCTCCAGTGTTATTAACTGATGTGTTAGTGCCGTGTGTATTTGGTGCTCTCAGCGGCTCTTATACTCACTCTGAACCCAGAATCGTACTCATTTTCTCCGAGCTCCTACAGACACACAGACAGAATGGATGGACAGACAGATGTGCACAGACAGACAGGAAAGAGAGATCAGATCGGCAACAAAGAGGAGGACTGAACGCAAGGCCCTAAGAATTAAAATCAACAGGAAGCAAAACTATCATTGTTGAAATCGGTGAGGAAAACAGTTTGAATTCATTAGAGAGGTTTGCCAGGGATAGACACAGGGAGAATGAAGAGAGGAGAAGAAGAAAGGAGTTCAGGAGCCGGATTCAAGCCCAGCTACACATCTCAAAACATGATTTTTATATATATATATATGTTGCACTGTTGGAGGAGCCTGTGGCCAATATTTTTCATTGCCATATCTACACTGTAGCTAATGTGCAAATGACAATAAAGCCTTGAATCTTGAAACCACACCTGGGATAAACCTCAGAAAATATGAGAACATATGGGTTTGAATGGTTTCTGCTTTTTCTTAAAATGTGACTCTACATGCCACTGTGCTCAGTGTAAGCCTATCATATTAAATCAATGACAACAAGCCTGTATTACATCATGACTGATCCGTCAGACGCACAGAACCTGCCAGTCATCTCACAGTGAAACCAACAGCAGCAAAGAGGATGTGGGAGTTTTTGTAACCTAAAGCTAACAGGCTAAACTGCGCATGTCCGCATAAAAAAGAAAAAAAAGAGTGCAAATAATTCTTGTACACACACACACACACACACACACACACACACACACACACACACACACACACACACACACACACACACACACACACACACACACACACACACACACACACACACACACACACACACACACACACACACACACACACACACACACACACACACACACACACACACACACACACACACACACGTATTTAATTTGCAGTGGTCTAAAGTTACCAAGTACATTTACACAAGTACACTATTTAAGTACAATTTTGAGATTCTAGCACTTTACTTGTGTATCTACATGTTTTTACTGCTTTGTACTCCACTACAATTCAGAGGTCAATTGTGTAATTTTACTCCAATACATTTATTTCATATCTTTTTTTAGGTACTTTGCAGATTGGGATTAATGATGCAAAATATACTTTAGACTTTAGTTATACCTGGAGTAATATCACAAGCTACTTCTATTCTTGGCCCTTTAAAAAAAAAGAAGGAAAATAAACACAACAAGCTGAGGTGGAAGAAGTTATCAGATCTTCTACTCCAGTAAAAGTAGAAGTACCAGAGTGTCGGAATACTCTGTTTTATTGGTCCATTTCAGAATAATATATGATATGTTTTATAATTATTTATTATTAAAGTGTTCTCAAAGCTGATAAAGGTGCAGCTAGTTTTAATGACTTTGAATACTGCAGGGTAGCTTGTGAATTTACTCCACTTGAGGAGAGTAAAAGTAAAACATTTACCGCTGAATTGTAGTGGGGTAGAAGACGTTCAAAGTAGCACAACATTCAAATATTCAAGTAAGGTACAAGTATCTCAAATTTGTACGTAAGTACAGTTAAACAGAAGTATAACACAAGGCCCTAAACAGAACAACAAATAAGCAACAGGTTGAAATATTAACTGTTCAAATGTTAACAGCTGTGACGATAGTTCTACCTTAATTCTGCTATTTTTTATTAGAATGAAGCCCTGTTTTGAGGCTTTATTTAGCTGTAGCCTCGGCTTTTATCAGTCTTTGGTTTTATTTCAACCTGTTGTTACATTTTTGTTGTGTTTTGGGCCTTGTGGTGTTAATTTTACTTTATTTTAAAACAGTATTCCTCGAACTAAACACTGATAGAAGCCGAGGCTACAGCTTAATAAAGCCTCAAAATAATGATTAATTTGAATACAAAAATAGCAGAATTAAGGTAGAACTAACATCACAGCTGTTAGCATTTAAACGGTTATTATTTCTACCTGTTGATTATTTGTGTTGTGTTTCAGGCCTTGTGGTGCTGATTCTACTTTACAGCTGTGACGTTAGTTCTACCTTATTTCTGCTATTTTGTCATATAAATTCATCCCCGTTTTCAGGCTTTATTTAGCTCTAACCTCGGCTTATATCAACGTTCAGTTCAAGGAATACAATTTGAAGACGATTTGAAATAAGCCGTTAGCCAGCCGTTAGCTTTTCACCAGCCAACCGGTTGAGGCCAACGGCTGACTGAAGAGACACCGGGTTAAAACATCGAGATCCTCCATCGCTGCTGCCGGAAGAAGTTACCTTTGATTTGGAGCAAGTGACAGAACGCAGGGCTCCGAAGTAGATGGGCAACAGAGCCATGAACACCAAGCTGCCGTACGCCAGCGCGGTGCCCTCCGGACTCGCCACGAATTTAGCCGTCGCGTTGAGAGCCTGCTCGGTTCCGTTGGAGTCCGTGTTGTTCAGGGCCTCCAGGACGGCAGCGACGGCCTCCGGGATCTGCTCCGTCTCAGACATGGTTCAGAAGCGGGCTGTGTGCTGTAGCTGAGACACGGGCAGGAAGAGGTGGAAGAACCGCTGGATGTTTCTCATTCATCCACAACAGTGATGCTGCGGTAAGGTAAGGCCACGTTTCCTAAAACATTGAGCAAAGAGGAGGCGGACCGTGAGAAGAGGTCTCACTCTGCGGGGTTTCCGTTAACATCACCGACACATTTTGATAAATGTATTTTCTTCTTCTTTTTTGAGTTATACGGCGGTTTGCGTCAAGGTTAATGTCGCATTGACACCAAATATATTTTCTTTGAATGCAGAGGTGGAAGAAGTACTTTTAACTTGTCAAAAGTGGGAAGTAACAAAGTACATGTACTCAAGCACCAGGGCCGTGGGAAGTAGGGGTGCTGAGGGTGCTGCAGCACCCCCTGGTGGAGGACAGGGGATCTGCACTTCCACAATAGAAAAAAAACGAATTTTCAGCCTTGATGTAACAACATTCATAATTAAGTAAAGATAACACCCTTTTCACCCCGGTTACATTTTCCATTTGCCCTGTACGATGGGCGCTGTAAGTGATGAAAGTGGGGGATGTTGGCTTAGCAGGCGCCCGCAGCCAAAGTGAGAGAGATAGAGAGAGGGGATACTGCGGTACCGGCGGGGATTGTTGTTAGCTTCTGCTGCGCAAACGGATATTATAAGAAGCTGTTTCTACAATAATGTGGAGAGAGAGTTCTGTCCTGTCAGACTGAGAGGCTCAGTGAGGTAAAGGACTCTGAGTGTTTAGATAGTTCACTTTAGTCTAAGTTATCTCAGTGGGTCTCAAACGTTTTGATCACAATTTATGTACGCAAATACTTCAAAGGGACACCTTTATAATTAAAAGGATAAATAAAAACAGGTTTGAAATCATTCCAATGTATACTATAGGACAGTAAACCAAAAATATCGTTTAAAACTGGAGAGATTTAAAAATATACATAAATAAATAAATGTTAACTGGTAAAATAAGATATGAATGAACAACACAAATAAAATAAGTTACATGTATTTGTTATTGGCTCTGGTAGGTTATTGGAAATGTTCACATACAAACCGATCTTTTTCACATGGGTGTTTAGAGTTGTATCCCCTAGATCAGTCTCTAATTGGGCGCTCAAAGTTCACCAAATTGAAGCATTTTACTTTAAAATGTTAAAAAAATCTTCCTGGGGGGGTACCCACGGACCCCCCTAGAGGATGTGAAGTCCACCCCCCAATTAAAACATGTTATAATACTAAATACATTTGAAGCCTTGTTATATAAGCTGTCCACCATGTCAATATGTTTCTCTTTTTGTAGTGTATTGGTCTTTTGTAGAGGTTTTTCATTGCCAGCTAAAATCTTGCCAAGGGCAGCAAATTGGTCAGAACCAGCCCTGGTGTCATCCCCACAGCACCCCCCATTTGAAACATGTTCCCACGGCTATGTCAAGCACTGTACTTAATTACACTTTTGAGTGTATCTAAGTTGAGTATTTCAATTTGTTTTGCTTCTACTCCACTACGATTCAGAGGTAAATTGTGTACTTATACTCCACTACATTTATTTTGTACCTTTAGTTACTTTGCGCATTTGGATTAAGGATGTGAAATATAATCAACACTTAAATAAGACTTTAGTTAGTACTTTAAGAAGCCTTAAAAATGAAAGCAGTTTATTTACGTAAACATTTATTTTCTGTTCAATAAAGAAAATAAAGACATTTATTTTCTTTAAAAAAATGTTACAGTTGTAATTTGCTACAGCTCTCTGTAAGCACAGCATGAGGAGAATAGGTTGCCATTGTTTGCTCAAATTGATACTTTGGACCAAGGTACTTAAGGAAAGGTAAATAAAAGTAGGTTTCAAGCCTGAGTTCCTGCTGAGAAGACCATAAATGCTTTATTGCACATGAAAAAGTTATTTATTGTGGGAACATTGTAAAATAGCCAACTTATTTCAAAACCCACATGCAGAGATATCTTTAACGCATCTCCCATTTCCCTCATCCCATTCCAGACTCTGAATTTCATTTCATTTCAAACCTTTATTTATGCAGGTTAATCCCATTGAGATCATTGATCTCTTTTTCAAGGGTGACCTGCTGCAAGTAGGTTCCACATGAATACATATAAACATAACAGAAAAACAAAAAGGACATCATACAGCATATTTACAGCGGCTACAGTTTACATAGCTACTAACATTTGCAGGTTCCAACAGTTTCCGATTGGATAGCATCTATCCTTGCTTTAAAAACATTTAGTGGCACCAGATTGCTCAGTTTCCATTTAATTTGCAGACTATTCTAGAATGGATGCCGAGTAGTTCTTTATCTTATGTAGGCTACACTAAAACAATGTGCTTGATCAGAGCCTAATGTATGATCTGAGCCTGTCAACAGGAAGCTGTGTATGTTCATCTTCAGTGTGATACATCCTAACCAAATTAGAAGATCTCTACATTAAGGAAGTAATGTTTCTTCCTCGTTGGTGGAATACATTTTGCTGAGACCTCAAGCAGCTGCCAAGGGGTATGCTTCTCGCTTTGGGTGCGAGAAGTCTAGGGTTCAAATCCCGGACGAGCCCAAGACATTTACATAGGTGTGGAACAGGTTTAGTTTAGGTAGCAAAAATGGTTTGTTGGAAGCAATGTGTACTTCACAATTTGACCAATTCTGTGCCCTGCTAGAAACCTAGTGTTGAGTTGGGGCAAATGATGATCAAGGCTTATCTTCTGTGTAGAGAATCCATGCATTTTCATCCAAGCTATGTTTATTTACTACAAAGTGCAATTAATGGTAAAGTGTTTAGCATTGTCATTTAAACAGAATATCGTTCGGAAGATCAAAAAATAGCCTTTTGTCATGGCTCGCTAGGGCAGTGGTTTTCAAACCTTTTTCAATAATGTACCCCTTTTAAAAAAAAAATTCAGCCAAGTACCCCCTGATCAGCGCAAAAACTATTTGTTAAGGAAAACATGCCTATACAGGTACAGTAAAGTGCTGCACCATCGGTGTCTGATTTATTAAAACAAGAACCTTGTAACTGAGAAATACTTATTCCAAATGTTTACAATCCATCACTAAATTCATGGCAAACCTATTTCAACATCATGCAATAACACTAAGACGAAATTAGTTGCATTGAACTGATCTTTTTTATAAGTTGTAGGCTATTTACAATTTAGTGAGGAACATGGGCTTGTGCTATAGTTATTACACTTCGCGTTTTGAAATATGTGTAACTCTGTTCATATAAAACCCACACTGCTCAAACCTCGTTACTTTTCCCAAAATTGCTTTAATTATTTATTTTGGGGCTATGGGAATGAAGAGAGAAAAATATATGAGCATTTTATGAGCATGGGATTTTGACCCCTCATTATGCATAATGCTGCGCTATACTTTGCGGCCACACCCCGTTGCCAAGCAACGCTTATTGTTTAGGTCCTTTGATAAGCAGGCAGTCATATCATTAGCTAGAACTAGCTAGATCTGAAGGATCTGGACATAAACGTGAGTGAAGTATAACCGGACGCGAGAGAGAGATCAGAGGTCAGATCAGCTGCTGCTGACGGAGAACACGCAGCTCTTCCGGATCACAGCTCCCCCGCTGTGACGGACCGTTGAGCCGAGCAAAATACAGTAAGAGTTAGACCTAACACACTTAGCTAGTTTATCTACTCTGGAACAAGCTAAACTAGTTATAAATATATGTATTCTTTACTGTCGGGTCACTTATTACAGGTTCAGCTGGCTGCACGAGACTGACGGGCTGTCAGGAGAGGGAGAGGAAAAGAGAGCACCCCGTTTATTTCCCCCATTTTATTATCCAGAATTGCTGTAAACAAAGTAGTTCATCTACTATTAGTAGTTTGTTTAAATGCATTACTTATGTTGTTTTTTTGCATTAACATAAAATAAATCTCTCGTAACCCCTGCAGTACTCCAACGTACCCCTAGCCCCATTTGAGAACCACTGGTCTAGGTATGATTCTCGCTTCGGGTGTGAGGTCCCGGGTTCAAATCCCGGACGAGCCCAAGACATCTACATAGGTGTGGAACAGGTTTAGTTTAGGTATCAAAAATGGTTAGTTGGAAGCAATGTGTACTTAATAATTTCACCAATACTGTGCCCTGCTAGAAACCTAGTGTTGAGTTGGGGCAAAAAATGATCAAGGCTCATCTTCTGTGTAGAGAAGCCATGCATTTTCATCCAAGGCATAGTGCAATTAATGGAAAAGTGTTTTGCATTGTCATTTAAGCAGGCTGTCGTACAGAAGACCAAAAACTAGCCTTTTGTCATGGCTCGTTGGTCTAGGGCAGGGCTATTCAACTACACATTCAGTTGGGCCAGATTTTATAACTACAAAATTCAGCTGGGCCAGACATTCAGCGGCCTGTAAAAAGCGGGTAGTGACACATTTTAAACCAACACATATTACTGCGATGAAAAACATGCAATTTTTATTCATTGTTCATCTAACAAAGGTAGGTCAAAAATTGCAATTCATGGAAAGGTGTTTTGCATTGTCATTCAAGCAGGCTGTCGTGCGGAAGACAGAACAATTTCCTTTGGTCATGGCTCGTTGGTCTAGGGGTATGATTCTCGCTTTGGGTGCGAGAGGTCCCGGGCTCAAATCCCGGACGAGCCCAAGTCGTCTACATAGGTGTGGAACAGGTTTAGTTTAGGTAGCAAAACAAGTTTGTTGGAAGCAATGTGTACTTCACAATTCGACCAATAGTGTGCCCTGCTAGAAATCTATTGATGAGTTGGGGCAAATCATGATCAAAGCTCATCTTCTGTGTAGAGAAGCCATGCATTTTCATCCAAGCTGTGTTCATTGAGGACAAAGTGCAATTCATGGAAAAGTGTTTTGCATTTTCATTTAAGCAGGCTGTCGTGGGGAAGACAGAAAAATTGCCTTTTGTCATGGCTCGTTGGACTCTAGGCCCTAGGCCGGGACCTCTCGCAGCCAAAGCGAGAATCATACCCCTAGAGTAGACCAACGAGCCATGACAAAAGGCAATTTTTCTGTCTTCCGCACGATAGCCTGCTTAATAGTACTGGGGGGATACGATTATTTTGAAAACGATTAATCGGGCAGGCTATCGTGCGGAAGACAGAAAAATTGCCTTTTGTCATGGCTCGTTGGNGCACGGAAAATGTGTGTGCATTGAGATTAACCATTAAGATGACATAAACATGAAGTCATGAACACTAACCCAGACATTAGTTGTC